GGGGACCTCAAGCAGGGCCTCTCCCCTCCTGCCCCACAGTGGACCCAGCCACTTGGAGAAACTTTCCCTGGTTCTTTGTGCCCACTACCAACCAAGGGCACGCCTAACTTTGGTTGTGCCTGAGCACAGCCACAGAAAATTCTTCCTTTGGGATCTTTTCTCGGCCAGGAGCCAAAGGGGCCCAGTTTTATCTTCTGTTACCAAAAATATGCTGTTTCCTCCCAATCCTTTGCTAAATTCAAGACAGCAATGACAAATGCTGGGTAAACACAGCACTATTTTTATTCCCACCTCCCCTATGCACAGCCTCCCCTCCTTCCAAACATAGCCTTTCAAATCTTGGACTTACACATCAGCCCCATGGTTGCAAAGGAAAACATGAAAATGCTCCCTCGCAGTCACGTGAGCATGGGCGTCTACAGCCCGCCCCTTCTTTATGTGCCCTTCCTGCCTCACTGCTCACTCAGCTGCCTCCCAGGACGAGGGTCACATGAGAACAGCGCAGGCTTTAGCTCCTGCCCAAAGAAACCAATGACTGTTAGAAACAAATGACTCATGGAGGCCTCAAGTATGACTTGTGCTTGAGCATCGACATTACTAGACCTGGACTCCAGGCCAGCCCCTTAGCTTTATTTATTTATTTATTTTATTTAATTAATTAATTTTTGTTACAGATGTTTCTCCTTTTTCCCCCACTGATTCCCCACTCCCCACCCTGTCCCCAGCTGTGTTGTCCATGTCCATTGTTCATGCATACATGCATATAAGTTCTGTGGTTTATCTCTCCCCTCCACCCCCTCTTCTGGGGATTGTTAGTCTGTACCCTACTTCCACATCTCTGGGACTACCCCATTCCTCACACTGTTATGTTCATTATATTCCAAATAAGTGAGATCATACGATGCTTGTCTTTCTCTGTTTGGCTTGTTTCACTTAGGATGACACTTTCCAGATCCCTCCATGTTGTATCAAAGGATAAAGGATCTTTCTTTCTTACAGCTGCATAGTACTCCATTGTGTATATGTACCACTGCTTTTTTATCCATATGTCTACTGATGGACATTTGGGCTGTTTCCAGATCTTAGCAATTGTAAATAGTGCTGCTACAAACATGGGGGTACATATATTCTTTCTGATTGGTGTTTCAGGCTTCTTAGGGTATATTCCTAGAAGTGGGATCACTGGGTCAAATGGAAGTTCAATTTTTAATTTTTTGAGGTAACACCATATTGTTTTCCATAGTCAGCCCCTTAGCTTTAGAATTAATTATCCACCATCTCAGGAGGCCATCCTCCTTGTCCTAAGAGCCCAGGTGGCTTACAAATGACTAACGCACAGCACATACTAAGGAGATCGTTTTGAAATGTCAAATGGAGCCTGTATCATGCTAGTACGTAAGAAAGAAAAAAAACAATAACATGGGAAGTAATGGTTTTTATTACAAAAAATATTCTTTGTGTTTCACATTATCAATAATATTCCTTTTAATAGCTAAGTCTCCAAGCACCAGCACAAGTCAGATACTGTGCTTTACACAAACATGTATTTTTAGGGTAATTTTGAGTGATGCATCCATGGTGAAAAGTTGCTGCTCCCTGCTCAGCTCTGGCTTACAAAGGGGGCCGCTCTCCTGCAGGAGAAACCAGCTCCTTTCTTCTCAGCTTCGTGTTTGGAGTTCGCAGATCCTGACGTGGTGGCAGCGAGAACTGGGCCCCCCCGCCAGGCCGCTCTCAGTGGAAGGATCCCTGTGGGCATGAAGTGGCTCCTGACAGTGGGCCCTGTACGTTCCCTGAGCTCTGGGCCATGGCCCATGATTGTGTCTGTGCAGAACCAGTTAGGGTGAAAGGTGCCCAGAAAGTTTAGAGGATTGGGGAGCCAATGTTGTTCTGAAAAATAACGCTAAGTCAGATCCTAAAATGAATCCTATTCCACAGCAGCCTGGTACTAACTTTGTCCCCTGGGACTGTCTGGAACAAGAGTTCTTAGCTGTGTTGCACATTAGAATCACTTAAGGAGATTTCTTAAAATTCTAAAGCAAGAGACCTTGACCAAGAGATGCCAATTCAGTGGTGGATAGGGTCCTAGAGTGAGTTTGGCGTTCTTTGAACTCCTCCAGGTGATTCTAACACGCATCCGCTGAGAGCAGCTGGCCAGTCGCCACCTGGTCACACTTCCTGGGACTCGGTCAGAATGAGATAGACTTTTGTGAGGAGAAACGTGGGAGCGATGCCAGTGTGTATGGTGTTTGGGGAACACATGTGCATTGTGTATACATTGTGCAGTTATCTTCCCATATGTGTAAAATATACGTTTAACTGTATACAGTGTGTGACACACGTGAATGCAGACAAAATAAAAAATAGCATTTGCCTCGAAATAGTCTCCTCTTGAGATAACGTCTGGGTTTGATTGCTACTCTTTCCAATTGCTACTTGGTTGCTATTTCAAAACCTATCTAAAAACATTGATTTTATGAATAAATAACACATGAGTGTATGTACATCAGGTGCTTAGAATAGTCAAATTCATAAAGACAGTTAGATAGAATAGTGGTTACCAGGGGTTCAGGGAGGAAGGGAATAGGGAGTTTATTGCTTAATGGGTTGAGTTTCGTTTGAGAAGGTGAAAAGTTCTCGAAATGGATAGTGGTGATGGTTACACAACAATGTCAGTGTAGTTACTGCCACTGAACTGTGCATTTAAAAATAATTTAAAGGATTTTTTGCCCTGGCCGGTTTGGCTCAGCGGTTAGAGCGTCGGCCTGCGGTCCTGAGAGGCCCGGGTTCGGTTCCCGCTAAGGGCGCGTACCTTGGTTACAGTTTGTCCCCGGCCCTGGTCGGTTGTGTGGGTGGCAGCCACTCGATGTGTTCCTTTCGCATCAATGTTTCTCTCTCTCTCTCTCTGTTTCTCTCTCTTCCTCCCACTCTACCTGAACAAAAAATGGAAGGGTGTCCTCGGGTGAGGATAAAAAAAAAATAATAATAATAATTTAAATGATTTTTCAAAGTTGAATTGTAAGATATTTTATCTTTTGGGGTTCTACATTTAACAAGCTTCCATGATGCAGATAGCATTGCACAAAACCCTGGAAACAAACTGTCTCCTTCTTGCATTAAATATCTCAGAGGTAGCTCAGCTTCTTGCCTATGGGTTACCTATGCCCCTCCAGGTCCCTGAGACATTCGCCCTTAATCTGCTCCCTAAAACCCCCTGAGACTTTTTACAAAGCTCCTCACAAGAGTTCCCACCAATACCTCACAACCCCACCCCTGAGACCTTCCCAGTCTCACAGCTATTGTTTAGCCATCTGGAAATTCTTGGGGGCTTTGTCACTCACACGCCTCACTTTCTACTACAGACAGCTCTGAGGATGTTTGAGTGAAGAATCAGGGTTTGTATGTAGGGAAATGAAGGCAGTGAAGTGGAAGTATAAGAAATCTTTGTGTATATTGTAAGTGAACACAAAGACTGAGTTACAGTTAGTACCAATTTCATCAAATGGGTGGCACGTCAATGGTAACAGCATAATTGGCCAAAATAAATTAGCTATTTTTTATTCCTTTTTCAAAAAATTATGGGAGAGCCACTATAAGCCAAAACTTGTCATAGTGGCATTGAAAGGATTCTTTTTTTTCCCCAATCCTAACCTTCAACTAACTCTAATCCTAACCCTAAAAATAATATGAACTCAAAACATAAAACCAGTCCTAACCCTATTCTTTAACCTACCCCTAACACTATCCCTTATTTAAATCCAAACCCAACCTCAGAGATATCTCTAACTCTACCATTAACCCTAACTCTGATCATAATCTCAACCCTGACCCTAACATTGACCTAACTCTAATTCTAAACCCAAGCCTAAACATAACTCAAAACCTAACCCTAACCCTAAACCTAATCTTATCCCCAGCCCTTAACCTAATGCTAACCCTAATACTATCCTAATTTAAACCCAAAGCCTAATCTCAAAGCCTAACTCGACTCTAACCCTAAACCTAACCTTAATCCAAACTCTAACCCTAACTATAACTCACACTGAGACAATTCTGAGATGTCCCAGACTAGTTGGGGAGGTCAAATGTGCACTAACTGTAGGACATGAAAAGGAACATAAGCAAATATCTACTCTTTTCTTTGTGCGCAGCAGAAATTCATTGAGCTTTAAGTAAAAACAAAAAACAAGGAAGCAGAGCCAGAGAGATTTGAACAACAAAACAAAAACAACCACAGCCAACATTTATTCTTGATTTTTGTTACTACTTCTTTCATGCTTCTTTATTTTCCTCCACAAATTAAATATACAATAACCAAAACTTTATTGATAACACATAAAGAAAACATGCGCAGCATGTAAGTGTAGTAGGCAGCAAGTCAATTCAGGCAGCGGTTGGTTTCTGCAGTGGGCCTCTGTGTGGTCTGTGGTGGGCTTGTGACATTCCCAAGTGGGAAAGCTTCACATGAAGAGTGGCATAAGCCACACTGAACTAGAGAAGACTAATAACACCAAAGAGTTTCTGTTCAAACCAAGGGACAAGGTTCACCTTTTCATTTTTAATAAAACTTCACTTTGTTTTTTTTTTTCTCTCCAACAAATGTTTTTAAATTAGTGAAATACAAAGGATAGATAAAAGCATAAATGGAATCCAGGAAGTTCTGTGGTGGATAACTGATAAATCTCCTTGATGAAGAAAAAAAATAAACAGACATTTGTGTCATCATCTCACCTTTCCCTAAAGGGAAAAAAAATACATACATTTATTTTTGGGGTAAATTGCTAAGGCTTTTGCCAAGGGGAAAAGTGTCACAAGAAAATGGAAAATATCTCTAATATCTATAGCACACAAAATAACTAACAGTAATAAAATATTAAAGGGCAAGAAGTATATCTGTAAAAAATGGCAGTGCATTTGTTGGATGAAAAGCAAAATCATGGGATCAAATGGTTGTGTTACTGAAATGGCACTTGGTACACGAACTCAAACATTCCTTTCCAAATTCAGTTTCTCAGAGGTCTGACTTCAGATGCCTGAGCACCTTCAGCATTGTCTTTGCCTTTATTCTTCTTTATTCGAATAAATACAACTGTTAAAATTATACCTGAAAGAGAAAATCAGGGTCAAATAGATGGAATTTTAAAATGCACTATCACATTCATTGATAAAGTAGTAACCTGGTAGGAAAAAGTGACTTATATAATTTCATTTATGTTTGTGGTTCAACAAAATTTCATTGTCCTGGTGAATAAAGGACTCCAGGCCTTGGCCTTCTTGGATAAGTAAGTTCATCGCTGATCTTATTGTCAGAAAGTATGCACCAACTCCCAAATCATATCTAAGCTGGTGGCTGTGGCTTGGTGTCTATCAAGGAATATAGAACCTAATACCTGTACTACTCTGAAAACCAAGTGTTTAAGCATCGAACAGAGTTCCTGAGCTTTATATACAGTTAATAAATGTTGATTCCAGTCGTTTGTCCCTTTCCATAGAAGAAATAGTCCAATCAGAACAACCAGAAAGCTGTTTTCAGACATGTTCACCTACCTTTACTGTGTCCACATCAAACATCACATTTTCTTTGGGACCTTCCTCGTGGTTCCAGTTTGAATAGACCATCTAACCTTTCAGATTTCTCCCACCTCTGAACTTCTAAAATATTACATTGTGCATTTTAACACTAAATATGCACTGTAAATCAGAGACCAATATGGAAAAGGAGTTGTTTTAAAAAAATTAACGCGGCAGCCCTGGCTGGTTTGGCTCAGCAGTTGGAGCATCAGTCAGTGGACCAAAGAGTCATGAGTTTGATTCCAGCCAATGGCATATGCCTTGGTTGTGGTTTGGTCCCTGGCCCTGGTTACAGTCATGTGGGAGGCAAACAATTCATGTGTCTCCCTCACATTGATGTTTCTGTCTCTCTCATTGATGTTTCTCTCCCTCTCCTTCCCACTCTATCTAAAGATAAATGAAAAAATATCCTCAGGTGAGGATTAAAAAAAAAATTAATGTGGCAGTAATTTCAGAGGAGGAATGATGGCAGAAAAAAACTGGATGCTCAGAGACCCATTTCAAAACTTAAAGCAAGGAACCTGGCAGGTGGTCCCTGATGGCCCTGGAGCCCCTCCAAAGCAGTGCCCCAATCTGGGGGGCTAGCCCCTAAACACCAATATACCCACAAAAGCAGAGGCTGGGCTTCATAGCCACCACACAAGAGACCAACATGGTACAGTAGCAGTCATGGCTGAACACCACAGCAGATGAGTCAGGGGTCTGTCCCATATACCAGTGTAATCATAGCAATTGTGGTTCGGCCTTGCAGCCAACAAGTCCAGTGGCCAGCCCTGGCCAACAGCATTCCCACAACAGTATGGCACAACCACAACAGGAGGATGTGTGCAGCCCACATATGATACCCCTAGAGCCCCTGGCTCTGGTGACCAGAAGAGATATGCCCCTGGGTCTCATATTACACTTTCTACATAAAGCCACTCTCAAAACTGCAAGACATGGCTGATCTACCTAATATGTAGAACAAACACAGATATTTAGGCAAAATGATGAGACAGAGGAATATGTTACAAACAAAAGTACAAGATAAAACCCCAGAAAAAGAACTAAATGAAATGGAGATATACAATCTATCAGATAGAGTTCAAAGTAATGATCATAATGATGCTCACTGAACTCGGGAGAAGTATAGATGAACACAAAGAGAACTTAACTAAAAAAAAAAAAGGAAATATAAAAGAGAACCAATCATAACTGAAGAATGCAATAACTGAGATGAAAAATACACTAGAGAGAATCAACAGGAGATCAGCTGATGAAAAAAAACAGATAAGTGATATGGAAGACTAAGTAGTGGAAATCACCCAATCAAAACAGCAGAAAGAAAAGGGAATCAAAAATATCAGAAGAGTATAAGAGACCTCTAGGACATAGAATTTACTAACATTTGCATTGTATGGGTCCCAGAAGGAGCAGAAAGAGAAGGAGCACAGAAAACCTATGTGAAGAAATCATGGCTGAAAACTTCCCTAGCCTGGCAATGGAAAGAGATATTCAAGTACAGGAAGTACAGAGAGTCCCAAACATGATAAACCCATAGAGACACACACCAAGATACATCATACTTAAATGTCAAAAGTTAAAAACAAAGAGAAAAATTTTACAAGTAGCAACAGGGAGGGAAATTACATACAAATGAACCCCCCACAAAACAATCAGCTGATTTTTCAGTAGAAACTTTGCAGGTCAGAAGGGAATGACACAATATATTTAAAGTGATGAAAGGAAATACCTACAATCAAGAAATACTCTACTAGGCAATGTTATCTTTTGGAATTGAAGGAGAGAAAATGAGTTTCTCAAACAAGCAAAAGCTAGAGAGTTCATTACCACTAAACTGGTATTGCAAGAAATATTAAAGAAACTTTTTTTGAGCATAAAAGAAAAGGCCAAAACTAGATATAAGAAAATATATGAAAGGAAAAATCTCACTGGCAAAGGCAAACATGTACTAAAAGTAGTGGATGAACCTTATAAAGCAAATATAAAGGTTAAAAAACAAAAGTAGTAAAATCATTTATACCAACAATAATTAGTTAAGAGATACAAACACACACACACAAACACACAGATAAAGATACATAATGTCAAAAACATAAAATGGTGGGGAATAGAAATGTAGTACTTTTAGAATGCATTTGAACTTAAGCAATCATCAACTTAAAATAGATTGTTTGTACACATAAACTGTTATATATGAATCTCATGGTAACCACAAACCAAAAACCTATAATAGATAACAGAAAAAAAATAGAGAAAGAAATCTAAACATAACACTAAAGAAACTCATCAAATCACAAGGGATGAAAGGAAGAGAAAAAGAAAGGAACAGAGAAGAACTACAAATATAACCAGAAAACAACTAACAAAATGACAATAAACACATACCTATCAATAATTACTTTGAACATAAATAGACTAAATGCTTCAATTAAAAGACATAAGGATAAAATATCAAGACCCACACATAATGGTGTCTACAAAAGACTCACTTCAGATCTAAATATAAACACATACTGAAAGGGAAGGGATGAAAAAAGACATATCATGCAAATGGAAATTAAAAGAAAGCTGGGGTAGCAATACTTAGAAAGAATAGACTTTAAAACAAAGACTGTAAGATTAGACAAAGAAGGCTATTCATTACATAATGATACAGTGATTAATCCAACAAGAGGATGTAACACTTGTAAATATCTATGCACCCAAAGTAGGAGCACCCAAATATGTAAATAAATACTAATTGACATAAAAAAAGGACAGTTATACAATTATAGTAGGAAATTTAATACCCCACTTTCATTAATGAATAGATCATCCAGAGAGAAAATCAACAAGGAAAATTTGACCTTAAAGGAACATTAGACCACATGAACTAATATATACAGAATATTCCATCCCAAAACAGCAAGATATACATTCTTTTCAAGTGTACATGAAACATTCCTCAGGATAGAATACATGTGGGTCACAAGTCTCAATAAATTTAGGAAGACTGAAATCATATTAGGCATCTTTTCTGACCACAATGGCATGAACTAAAAATCTACAGGGGGAAAAATAACTGGAAAAAACACAAATACATAAAGACTAACCAACGTGCTCCTAAACTACCAATGAATTAAAAAAGAAATTAAACAGAAAATTAGAAACTATCTTCAGACAAATGAAAGCATAACTTTTTGAAATTTATGGAATGCAGCAAAAGCAGTTAAAAGAGGGAAGTTCATAGCTATAAAGGCCTAGTTAAGAAAAAAAAGAAAGAAAAATCCCAAATAAAAGTAAAAAAAAATATAAATCTAAACTGAAATAAACTAAGAAAGGAAGAACAAACCCAAAGAAAACAGAAGGAAAAAAATCATTAAGACCAGAGCAGAAGTAAATGAAATAGAAATTTAAAGAAAGAAAAAAGAGGTGGTTCTTTGAAAAGAAAATTGATAAAACTTTAGCCAGACTCAAAATAAAAAAGAGCTGTCCCAAGGGATTCCAAAATGGTGGCAGAGTGAATGGAAGCTATACAGACCATCTCCCAGAACCAAACTGGAATTACAACTAAAATAAAGACAAACCATCAGGAAAACCCAACAGAAAAGCAGCTGGAGAGGACCTGTATAATCAGGGACAAAAAAAAGGACACTAAATTGATCCTGGTAGGAACTGCAAAGACATGAGAGGGTGGGCTGGGAGCCCATGGACAGCAGCTGTTTTAGCTGTGAGCAGCTTCCTCGGGGTTAAAATACCAAACCAGCTCCATAGCAGCAAAGGGCTGGGTCAGAGCACTAAATTAGCTACAGTCACTCACCTAGGGCTCTGGCAGAGGGAGGGCAGACTGAATTGGAACTGTATGGAGACTTGGGAGCTTGGAGAGCTGGGAGGGCAATGGAAGTATTGTGCTGAATCACTCCCTCACAGGATAGTAGCCATCATACTCAAAGAGCCCCTTCCCAGAGCCCCAGGGAGAAGCAACAACCCCTCCCTCAGGAATTTAACACCACCCTGCCAAGCCAGAGAAATGCAAATTGAGGCCCATTAACAGCCAGCAAGCATCTGCCCCACCTGCTGGAAATGCTCTTACCCTGAACACTTGAGGGATTTTTTTTTCATTTAGTTCAGTGCTACAACTCAAGGCTCATCAAGTAACTAAGACTAATAGCCTCCAGGCAAAAAGGTAGAGGGTAACTGAACCTTTCCTGAGATTGCAAATTTACCCAGGAAAGTAAAACTTCACAGTGGTGTTTAATGTGAGTCCTCCAACACTCATCCAAACCCAGTAGAGAAAGCCACAACCAGCAGAACACCAACACCCACAGGGAAAATTTGGCAGGCTCCAAACCCCACTGAGACAGCCAAAATGGCAAAACAAAGAAACAAATCCCAAATGAAAGAACAAGAGAACTGTACCAAGGAAGAGATAAATGAAATTAAGCAAGTTATCAGAGGTAGAGTTCAGAGTAATGATAATAAGGAAGCTCAACAGCATGAGTAAAGATATAAAAACATTGAAAACTAAACAATTGGAAATGAAGAATGACA